TGTGTTTCTTTGTTTCACAAATAAAGGAATTCAAAATGAACTTCTTCCTTCATGGACTCTTTCTCTCTCTGAGACATTTCCCTTCAGGTCAAGTCATAACTTCTAAAAGCCTGTGGGGACCAAGGAGGCAGGAGAGGTTTGACACAGGTGGGTGTGATCGACACATATATGCAAGCCAGAGTTCAAACATCTGAGCTAATTGGTGTGTCCCGTAGGGTCGGTCACTTGGAACCATGGTGGCGACAGTTCGGGTGGGTTTTGTGTCTTTTCCAGTTGAAGGTGTGGGAAGTAGATGTGTGACCCTAGATCCATTTCACTGCCTTGATGGACAAAATCACCCAACAGCCGAGTTGTTACTCTGGTTTGTTGTCATCACAGTTAGCTTTTTCAAAATTCCTTCTGAGTTGCACGAAATAGGTGGGCAGTGGCTCATTGGATCTAAAGAAATATTTCACAAAGAACGTCGATCCTTTCGATTTTCATTTGTCTCGTTTTCGGTTTGTAAAGGCAGGGACATTAACGCATTAGCGTTGTGCCAACCGTTTTGTTTGGGTGTTGTTCAATCCATTCCAAATCATGACATGTCTCTGGATAATAGAACTAATTGCTACTGCATCTTTTTCGATTCTCATAATTAGTGCTTTGCCTCAGCCTTGTGTTTCAGCTTCTGTATCCATCCATGTTCTTCGAACCGAACAAAGAGATGGTGCTACATGATTTCCAATCAGGAAGTCTGAGCATCCAGCTTGTATGCTTTCACCAGTCTTATTCCATGCATATGCTGGGCCGATAAACCTGCAATATGTGGATGTCATGATCATGTTTGCTGAAAGAGAAGATGACTTTAAGCATCTACTGATGAAGAATAAAGATTACAGTTTGCAGTCTGGATTACTCTTCAACCTGAAGAATGATAAGAGCATCATCACTGGGCCACTAAGCAGCGACAGGATCAATGGAGAAAACAATTGAAGCCATCACGAATTTCCTTTGTTTGAATCCACAATCAATAGACATGGAAGCAGCTTTCAAGAAATTAGATTTCTTCCCACACTGGGAAAATGGGGTGCAAACCA